GCCCACCTTGATTACCATGCACATTGTAGACAGAGTGGTCACTTTGGATGAGCTATTACCAGCAGGAGAGTGAGGTTGTGTATGTATGGGGGTGGGGGGGTGAGAAAACCTGGATTTGTGCTGGAAATGGCCCACCTTGATTATCATGCACGTTGTAGGGAGAGTGGTCACTTTGGATGAGCTATTACCAGCAGGAGAGTGAGTTTGTGTGTGTGGTTTTTGGAGGGGGGTGAGGGGGTGAGAGAACCTGGATTTGTGCAGGAAATGGCCCACCTTGATTATCATGCACATTGTGAAGAGAGTTGTCACTTTGGATGGGCTATTACCAGCAGGAGAGTGAATTTGTGTGTGGGGGGGGTGGAGGGTGAGAAAACCTGGATTTGTGCTGGAAATGGCCCAACTTGATGATCACTTTAGATAAGCTATTACCAGCAGGACAGTGGGGTGGGAGGAGGTATTGTTTCATGATCTCTGTGTGTATATAATGTCTGCTGCAGTTTCCACGGTATGCATCCGATGAAGTGAGCTGTAGCTCACGAAAGCTCATGCTCAAATAAATTGGTTAGTCTCGAAGGTGCCACAAGTACTCCTTTTCTTTTTGCGAATACAGACTAACACGGCTGTTACTCTGAAACCAGTTACAAGAAGGTATGCAGCTGTTTTTTTCCACTTGCCCTCCAAAGGCCATCATCTATTTGGGGAGATGGTGGATAAACCCTACAAGATGAAAAGGAGTACTTGTGGCACCTTAGAGACTAACCAATTTTTTTGAGCATGAGCTTTCGTGAGCTACAGCTCACTTCATTGGATGCATGCAGTAGAAAATACAGTGGGGAGATTTATATACACAGAGAACATGAAACAATGGGTGTTACCATACACACTGTAACAAGAGTGATCAGGTAAGGTGAGCTATTACCAGCAGGAGAGCTGGGGAGGGGGGGGGAAGCCTTTTGTAGTGATAATCAAGGTGGGCCATTTCCAGCAGTTGACAAGAACATGTGAGGAACGTGGAGCAAAATGCCTCATTTGCAGAGCTTAGAAAGACGTATTCATTGTCTTGAAAAATGTGCAGTAACTCTCACTGAAATTCAAATTCAGACCTATCTTTCTGAGATTTTCTCCAGCCAGCTCTCAGGAGAGTTAGTCCAAGGATGAGCCTTCCAAGGATTTTAAAAGAAAAACTTAAGATGTCAGTTTCCTAGCTTGTGTGTGTACCTAGTCAATTGTGGAAGCTAGTTTGGAGGGTGTGTTACATTCCATTCTGATAACAGTGAGTTTTTGTGATCATTCTGATGTGTTCCAGGAGTTCCTCATTCCTGGGCTAGCTACAAAGAAAGCTTTGTTTTTAGTGCTCACTAATCTCATTCATGACAACTCTCTTGTTCCAGTGGAAAGCAGGTGTGAAGCTGTCTCTTTTGTAGTCTGGGCTGTTTGTATGAAGAAAACTAACAATCAAAGCTTTGAACTTGACTTAGTGTTTAACATGAAACCTTGTAAGGAATGAAGCACTGGGATTGATTGGTTTTTGGTGGCATGCGGTGCTAATTAGGCTGGTAGCTACATTTGTAATTAACTGAAGATTTTTTGGGTCAGTAATTTCATTCCCTAGGTATATTATTTTAAAGTAATCAAATCCATAGGTCATGAATGTAGATGTAGATCAGTGTGGCCAGCCCAAGTCTTTCAGGATAGAATGAAGTCTCATAGCCATATATCAGGGGTGGTGAAACTTAGGCTCTTTTACAGTTGAAGTGCGGCTTGCAGAGCCCCTCAAACTCTCCCATTCTCTTCCTCCCAGACTTGGCAGGGAGGGGAAGAGCTCAGGGCTTCTGCCCTGCGGTGGTGTGGTGGGGCTAGGAGCTTCTTCTCAGCAGAGCAGTGGGTCTTGGGCTTCAACCCCACTGGGCGCACCTGCTGGGGCTCGGTGCTTCAGCAGGAGTGGGGTTGAAACTCCAAGCCCAGACAGGCGCCTTCTGCAACGCTGAAGCCCCAAGTCCAGACAGGGACCTCCCTCAAAGCTGAAGCCCTGAGATCCCCCTCCCCACAGGGCACAAATCCTTAGCCCCACCACACCACTGCGGGGCTCAAGCCCTGAACCCCAGCAGACATGCCCTGGCTCTTGAACTTCTGAAGATTGTCATATGCGGCTTGGAGGGTCAGTAAGTTTGGCCACCCCTACCATATATTGTCCTTTTTACAACCACAGCTGTTGGTGTCAAGTCTTGGAGGACAATCTGAGAATAAAAATGTGAAAGACAGTCATTGTTACTGTAGCAGCAAGTTCTTAAAGCACTTCTCTCTCTCAGGTTTCAGAGTAACAGCCGTGTTAGTCTGTATTCGCAAAAAGAAAAGGAGTACTTGTGGCACCTTAGAGACTAACCAATTTATTTGAGCATGAGCTTTCGTGAGCTACTGCTCACTTCATCGGAGTGAGCTGTAGCTCACGAAAGCTCATGCTCAAATAAATTGGTTAGTCTCTAAGGTGCCACAAGTACTCCTTTTCTTTTTTCTCTCTCTCAGCATCACTGCCATCTGAGCTATAGTTTCAAACTTCTGCCTTTCATCCACATGCTGATGTCCCCCAGAAAATGTTCTCACACCAAAATCTTTAACATTCTCTTCTTAATTAAGTCTGAATAGGCAACAGATTTAAAACAAACAAAAAAGTATTTCTTCACACAACACACAGTCAACCTGTGGAACTCTTTGCCAGAGGATGTTGTGAAAGCCAACACTATAACATGTGTGACAGGGTCAAGACAGATGGCTACAGGAGAGTGATAGAAGGCCGATATATTAGCCCCAGGTTAAGTAGGTCCCTTTCCCCTGGGTAAGGTAACAGGGAAGGTTCCAGAACAAATCAGGAACTTTCTGGAAACAATTAAGGCAGACAGGTTGATTAGAACACCTGCAGCCGATGAAGAAGCTGCTAGAATCAATTAAGACAGGCAGGCTAATCAGGGCACCTGGGTTTTAAAAAGGAGCTCACTTCAGTTTGTGGAGTCCATGCGAGGAGCTGGGAGCAAGAGGCGCAAGAAGATGAGAGTGAGAAGGCGTACTACTGGAAGACTGAGAAGTACAAGCAGCATCAGACATCAGGAGGAAGGTCCTGTGGTGAGAATAAAGAAGGTGTTGGGAGGAGGCCATGGGGAAGTAGCCCAGGGAGTTGTAGCTGTCACGCAGCTGTTACAGGAGACACTGTAGACAGCTGCAATCCACAGGGCCCTGGGCTGGAACCCGGAGTAGAGGGCGGGCCCGAGTTCCCCCCATCCCTCCAACTCCCTACTTGATACTGGAGGAGTTGACCTGGACTGTGGGTTCCACCAGAGGGGAAGGTCTCTGGCCTGTTCCCCGATCCACTAGGTGGATCAGCAGAGACTGCAAGGATTGTTCGTCTTCCTTTCCCCATGCTGTCCAGTGATGAGGCTAACTGAGTGAACGGCAGATTTGAGCCACGAAAGTGGCCAAACTGAGGACTGCCATGAACCTCTGAGGCGAGAAAATCCGCCAATAAGCGCAGGACCCATCAAGGCAGAGGAGGAACTTCGTCACACAGGGTTCAAAAAAGAACTAGTTAAGTTCATGGAGGATAGGCCCATCAATGGCTATTAGCCAGGATGGGCAGGGATGGTGTCCCTAGCCTTTGTTTGCCAGAAGCTGGGAATGGGCGACAGGGGATGGATCACTGGATGATTCCCTGTGTTGTTCATTCCTTCTGGGGCACCTGGCATGGGCCACTGTCGGAAGACAGGATACAGGGCTAGATGGACCTTTGGTCTGACTCACTATGGCTGTTCTTATGTTCTTTTTCTGATGACTGAATTGCTTGTTAATGCTCTAATAGCGGATATTGACTATTGTAACCTCCTCCTCTCCAATCTTGTAGATACTTACCTTGCTCCCTGCTGTCCATTCAAAATGCTGTCACCAAAATCATTTCCCACCACCTTTTGGTTTTGACTTCATTTTCACTCCATAAGATCTTCTTGTTGCCCAGCATATCATATTGAAATTCCCTATCCTTGGATTCAAGACCCTATGCTTCTGGCCAAAGTCTGCATCAGTGACCATGTTTTTGTTTTGCATTACCCCATTCTCTCCACTCCAATATTGTTGATAGCTTTGAAGTTTCCTTTGTACCCTTCTTCCATTTCCATCTCCATGCTGCCCCTTTCCAAATATATTCCATTTTCAAAAATAAAAGGAGTACTTGTGGCACCTTAGAGACTAACCAATTTATTTGAGCATGAGCTTTCGTGAGCTACAGCTCACTTCATCAGATGTATACCGTAGTTTCCACGGTATACATCTGATGAAGTGAGCTGTAGCTCACGAAAGCTCATGCTCAAATAAATTGGTTAGTCTCTAAGGTGCCACAAGTACTCCTTTTCTTTTTGCGAATACAGACTAACACGGCTGTTCCTCTGAAACATTCCATTTTCAAGTTACCTCCTTGACCTCACATATACCTCATTCCATCTCTACTAAAAACTCACTTCTGTCATCTCTTATATGAACAATGAAGGGGAGGAAAAGGTAAACTAAAGAAATGAATAAAACTGGAAAGGAAAAACTTAAGTCAACAGAACCACTAAGAGGAGTATGTGCCTTGCAGAGTAATTATATGCTCTTTTTTTGTTTGTTTATCATTTCCCCATCTCCTTCTCCCCCCATTTTTTGGTCTGTTTATGACCCTCACTATTTGTCATGTCTAATTTAGATTGTAAACTCTTTGGTACAGGGACAATGTCTTTGTTGTTACAGCCCCTAGCATAGTTTTGGGTGCTCAAAAATAAACTAAGAACTTTATACCTGGGTTCTGGCTGTATTTTAACACTGTGCAACATATATCATTTTGGGATTGAAATTGTTAGCAAATTTTATTGATGTTTAGGAACTTCATCCTTTTTGGGGACTCAGATTTATTGTGTGTGGTTTTTCAGATAATAGTAAAACAACAGTTTCTAAGATTCTCTTATTGCTTTTCCCCCCTGAAGTCTTCCATCCTGTGGAATGTTCATACTGTCGGTGTGAGAGCATGATGGGTTTCCGGTACCGATGCCAGCAGTGCCACAACTACCAGCTCTGCCAAAACTGTTTTTGGCGTGGCCATGCAAATGGCCCTCATAGCAACCAACATCAGATGAAGGAGCATTCCTCATGGGTAACTCAGCTTTGTTTGTAATAATGCACTGATCATCTCTATGCAAATTTCTTTTGAAAGCTAAAGACGTTTTTGTAAAAGGCTTAGAATCACAGGTTAAATCTTAAAGTTTTTCAAATAGGAGCTTATAAATAGGCACATTATACTTCTTTCTGAGTTGAATGAAATTTTATTTAATTATTTGACATTATCATTTTGCCCAGTGCTGACGATACTGTTCCTGCTCTCAAGTGCCTTGCAATCTGAGACATATAAAACAAAGCACTTGTCTTCTTTTCCCCAATACCATACCTTCCTACATCCCTCTTTTTACCAGCCTAATAACCCACCGTAATTTTGATGTCTTTACAAAGCAAGAAAACACTATGCACACAAGGTGCTCTTTTCGGCAAAGTGTTCTTCTTGAACATAGTAGCTCTTTAAAATAAATAAATGTTTGCCTTCATTGTGCATGAAGCTGGACTGTATATATTGTGGAAGACAAATCCTTAACCCAAGAATCTGATAATCTAAGATACATGGGCAGTAAAATTTGGAAAAATAGTACACCAGACGACAAGATGAGCATATCCCAAGTCATAGCTAATAATTCAAGGTCTGGAAAACAGGATGTTACAGGTGGGGTGATTCTGTAACAACCCTGATAGTATCAAGCATGATGCTGCAGCCACCCCCTGTCTTAGTCCACAAGTTGTGACCTGCTTGGAGCAGGGTGGCTGGTGCCATAAGCTTGGCATCTAAAGTCTCTAGGTCTCTAAATAGTTAACTAAGATTGCAAAACTCAGAATTCACTGTCTGCGCCTTTAAACAAACAAGCAAAATGCCAGGGCAAGCACTTAAGGGCAGGGCCCTGACCTGGACCTTGGGTTCTGTGCTAGCACTGAGGAGCTTTTCTTCTGTCCCAATCTCACTCTGTGGTGCCCCTGAGAAGTAGCAGGCAAGCATTCTTAACTGCTCTGCTGGCTCCTGATTATTCGGTGCCTCCTCCTGGCCCTTCTAAGCTCCGGAAGACTAAGTCTTGTTGGTAGCCTGGTCTGAGTAGGTTTTCCTTGAGCACAGGGGACAGACACCTCCAGCAGGGGACAAAGAAGGCACAGTAGACCCCATCACACAGGCCTTGTAGCAAGAGATTTACAAAGCTAAATCTGTTTAGTTTATCCAAGAGAAGACTGAGAATGACTTGATCATGACTTGCGTGTACCTGGAGAAGAGATTTCTGATAGTAGATGGCTCTTTAATGTAGAAGAAAAAGGCATAATGATATCCAATATTTGAAAGCAGAAACTAAACAAATTCAGATTAGAAATAAGATTAATATTTTTAGCAGTGAGGGTAAATAACCATTTGGTCAGTTTACTTAGAGAGCTGGTAGAATCTCCATCCACTTTCTCTTTAAAATCAAGACCAGACGTCATTCTAAAAGGTATGTTATGGCTCAAAACAGTGGGCTTGATTGAAATTACTTGATGAGGTTCTATGGTCCATGTTTGCAGGAGGTCAGATGAGATCATCAGAATGGCCCATTCTGGCCATAAAAATCTATGAATGTATAACCACTTTTTGATGGTGAACTCAATCATTTAGATTATCCTAGGTGGACGAAACCAGTTTTAAGTCGTGATTAAATGAACAGGGTGGACATGAATAATACTAGTTTAAAGAGGGAGTTCCAGGTATAGAATCATAGAAGATTAAACCTCTAAGGAAGGAGATTCCACCACCTCCCTAGGTAACCCATTCCAGTGCTTCACCACCCTCCTAGTGAAATAGTGTTTCCTAATATCCAACCTACACCTCCCACACTGCAACTTGAGACCATTGCTTCTTGTTCTGTCATCTGCCACCACAGAGAACAGCCTAGCTCCATCCTCTTTGGAACCCCCCTTCAGGTAATTGAAGGCTGCTATCAAAACCTCCCTCACTCTTCTCTTCTAGAAATTAAATAACCCAAGTTCCCTCAGCCTCTCCTCATAAGGCATGTGCCCCAGCCCCCTAATCATTTTCGTTGCCCTCTGGTGAACTCTCTCCAATTTGCCCATATCCTTTCTGTAGTAGGGAGCTCAAAACTGGATGCAGTATTCCAGGTGTGGCCTCACCAATGCCGAATAGAAGGGAATATTCACTTCCCTCGATCTGCTGGCAATGCTTCTACTAATGCAGCCCAATATGCCATTGGCCTTCTTGGCAACAAGGGCACACTGTTAACTCTCATCTAGCTTCTCGTCCACGATCATCCCCGGGTCTTTTTCTGCAGAACTGCTGCTTAGCCAGTCACTCCCCAGGCTGTAGCGGTGCGTGGGATTCTTCCGTTCTAAGTTCAGGACTCTGCACTTGTCCTTTTTGAACCTCAGATTTATTTTGGCCCAGTCCTCCAATTTGTCCAGGTCACTCTGGACCCTATCCCTACCCTCCAGCATATTTACCTCTGCCCCCAGCTTAGCGTCATCCGCGAACTTGCCGAGGGTGCAATCCATCCCATCAGCCAGGTCATTAATTAAGATGTTGAAGAAAACCGACCACGGGGGTACTCCACTTGATACCAGCTGCCAGCTAGACATTGAGTCGTTGATCATTACCTATTGAGCCTGACAATCTAGCCAGCTTTCTATCCACCTTATAGTCCATTCATCCAATCCATACTTTAACTTGCTGGCAAGAATACTGTGGGAGACCATATCAAAAGCTTTGCTAAAGTCAAGATATATCACGTCCACTGCTTTCTGCATATCCACAGAGCCAGTTATCTGATCATAGAAGTCAATCAGGTTGGTCAGGCATGACTTGCCCTTGGTGAATCCACGTTGACTGTTCCTGATCACCTTCCTTTCCGCCAAGTGCTTTAAAATGGTTTCATTGAGGACCTGCTCCATGATTTTTCCAGGGGCTTAGGTGAGGCTGACCAATCTGTAGTTCCGTGGGTTCTCCGTCTTCCCTTTTTAAAAGTTGGGCACTATAACTGCCTTCTTCCAATCCCCTGATTGCTGCAAGTTTTCAAAGATAATGTCCAATGGCTCTGCAATCACATCAGCCAGTTCCCTCAGCACCCTTGTATGCATTAGATCTGGACCCATGGACTTGTGCATGTCCAGCTTTTCTAAATAGTCCTTAACCTATTCTTTCACCACTGAGGGCTGATCACCTCCTCCCCATACTGCGTTGCCCAGGACAGCACTGTGGGAGCTGCCCTTGTCTGTGAAAACCAAGGCAAAAAAAAAAAAAAGAGTTGAGTACTTCAGCTTTTTCCACATCATCTGTCACTAGGTTGCCTCCCACATTCATTAAGGGTCCCACACTTTCCCTGACCTTTCTTGTTGCTACCATACCCATAGAAACACTTCGTTACCCTTCACATCCCTTGCTAGCTGCAACTCCAGTTGTTTTTTGGCCTCCTGATTACACCCCTGCATACTCAATTTTTATATTTTTATACTCCTCCCTAGTCATCTGACCAAGGTTTACACTTCTTGTAAGCTTCCTTTTTGTGTTTAAGCTCACTGAAGATTTAGTTAAGATTGAAGTGTATCAATACCTAATAGCCACAACATTAATTTTCATAGAATAACTCATTTGCAAAAAAAAAAAATAATCCTTTCAAAGTGGAAAAACGTGGAAATTAACAGTTAAGAACTTCAGCTAATTCAGTCATGTCCTATATTCCTTCTTCACTTGCTGTGAACCCCATGTAAGTTACAATCTCTCCTCCCATTAAATTTTTGCTTTTTTATAGTTTGCATAATTACATGTAAAGAACAACATATTAGGATAAGATGCTGATGGTTTAATCACTTTATTTTATTCATGTGAAACTAAATCTGTTTATACTTCTAATACATTTACTAATCCACACCCAAAAACCAAAAGGCTATTCTGAGTGTGGCCAAGAGAAAAAAAATACAGTTGAAACAGCTGTCCCTGGTTTTGCTAGTGTGTGGAAGCAGCTCACACACTCCCTGACACAAGACACAGACTGATGCGTGGAAGGGACTTCTGCATGGAAGTGTGCGAGCTGCTTGTACACACTAGCGCCATAGGTGGATTAAGCTTTTACGGAGCCCTGGGCCAGAGCAAGTGGGGGCCCCTCCTCACCCCTTCCGCCTGCAGTCCCCCACCCTCCCCACTCTTCCTGGGGAAATGGGATTGGGGCACCGGGGCTTACCCTGTTTCCCCTCCCCCACGGTGCTCCTGCCGGAGAGCAGGGTTGGGGTGCGAGGCCTTCCCCCGCTCCCCAGCAAGAGAGCCGGGTGAACAGAGCAGGTCATGGGGCACCCATTTTTCCGGGGACCCCTGGGCGTGGGCCCAGTGGCTAATCCGCCACTGACTAGCATGTATATCTGCACAGGGCTCTACTGATCACAAAAATAAGCATTGATGGTGGCTTAGGTACAAGTGATTGTAACTTGATCACATTTATAACGTGTAAGCAGGAATAAATGTACTTATTACAGTATTCAGAGTAACAGCTGTGTTAATCTGTATGCGCAAAAAGAAAAGGAGTACTTGTGGCACCTTAGAGACTAACCAATTTATTTGAGCATGAGCTTTCGTGAGCTACAGCTCACTTCATCGGATGCATACTGTGGAAACTGCAGAAGACATTATATACACAGAGACCATGAAACAATACCTCCTCCCACCCCACTCTCCTGCTGGTAATAGCTTATCTAAAGTGATCATCAAGTTGGGCCATTTCCAGCACAAATCCAGGTTCTCTCACCCTCCACCCCCCCCCACACAAACTCACTCTCCTGCTGGCAATAGCTCATCCAAAGTGACCACTCTCTTTAAAATGTGTATGATAATCAAGGTGGGCTATTTCCTGCACAAATCCAGGTTCTCTCACCCCCCACCCCCATACACACACAAACTCACTATCCTGCTGGCAATAGCTCATCCAAACTGACCACTCTCCCTGGTCGTACCAACTCAATTACTCCTTCCCTCCGCTACCGCTCCTGCTTCAAGTACTGCAAAAGATTTGACAAGACAGAGTGATGGTAATT